GTGGTGCTAATAGATAATACCTTCGCTGTAAATTGGCTGGTGAACTGCACCAACACTCTTTCGTAGCAATTTATGTATGTTTGCTGCTTGCTTTTGGTTTTTTTTTTTTTTTTATTTTCAGAACTTAATTTCTTTTTCCATTTCAAATTTATGACCGAACTTGTTTCTGCATTTCGTGCTGTGCAACAGCCGCATAAAACGGCATGTTGTAAAGGGCTTGTGTGTGTGTGTGTTGTATGTACGCATGTGTGCGCGTGCGCATGTGTTTGTATGTGTGTGCGTGTGTTTGTGTGTGTGTGTGTGTGTGTGTGCGTACGTGCATGAGTGTGTGTGTGTATGTGTTATGCTCCGCACTTTCAATTCGGGGACCGCAAAAGCTAGGCGGATGAAATTTTAGCAAGTGTTCCTCGCCAACGTGTAACCCCGCAAACTTAAATTCAGCCTTCCCATGCCCCCGGCAACACGTACGGCCCCATAAAAGCTTTGGCGAGCAAAATCATTATCTCGGGAACCGCGGAAACTAGGGGGCTGAAATTTTTTGATATGTCCTCTGCTTACGTGCGATCCATAAATTCAGCCTTCCCGTACCTGTGGGTAATGTATACGGCCCCGTGAACTTTCATCGAGTAAATTATTATCTCGAGGGCCACGAAATCTAGGAAGCTGAAATTTTAGGATAATGATCCCCTGCCCACATACGACCTCGCGAATTCAAGTTCAGTTTCCCTATGATCTCGGGTATCACCTACCGCTCTATGAAGCTTTTGACGAATAAATTATTGTATCGGGAACCGTGAAATCTAGGAAGCTGAAACTTTGGGGACTGTTCTTTGTTCATGTACAACCCCTCATATTTAAATTCAAAGCAGTGAAAATCATTATCAGGTCGGTGGACGGAATTGCACATAACGCATGATCGCACCGGCTGCCCTAGTGCGCGTCGCTATTTATTTCACACCCATTTTAAGTAGTCACGTTTGTCTTAGGTTTAAAAGGAAATCGTTTGATTTCTGCAACATGTTACTTCAGGAAGCAGCTTGGGCAGTGTCGAACGTGACGATCAGTGGACGTGCTGATCAAGTGGAATATATGGTCTCCCAGGGTGTCATACCACCATTTTGCGCGTTACTTTCGATACGTGATACGCAGATTGTGCAGGTTGTTCTTGATGGCCTCAATAATATCCTCAAAATGGCTGGACCACGTTCCGAAGCTGTTTGCACGATGATCGAAGAATGCGGAGGTTTGATTGATTTCCGGTTTTTGCAATACTTGCCCCATTAACATATGTGCAATAATTGCTGACGTACTCAAAGGAAATACTGGTAGAGATGGAAGAAGTGGCAGAATGAGGAAAGAGGGTTTTTTTGAGTTAAGGAGCTTCTTAGCTCTTCCCAGCAAAAAGCTTTTGTGGTGATGTACAAAGGAAGATGTGGGAGAGCAGCAGGAAGAACATGGAAGGACGCTTTCCGCAAAAACTCTGATTCTTAGCTTTTGACAAGTCCGCGTAGCGCCTTCCGTACGAAGTTGCTTAGGATGGTGGGGAATTGATTTAATTGGTAATTCAAAAGAAAGGGAAGGGTTTCTTGGAACAGCAGCACCTACTTTTGTCACTATAAGCAAAATCACAAGGTTCCAGATGTGCAACAGGGTTCGTTCTGGATTTTGTTTTGCTGATTTTGCAGGCCTGGACAAGATAGAACATCTGCAGAATCACGAAAGTGAAGAGATTTACAAGTTGGCCTATGAGATCATCGATAGCTACTTCTCAGTAGAAACGGACGATGATGGGATCGCCGGCTCGGAGCATTTCTTCGAATCCACCCAGCAAAATGTGCCATCCGAGGGATTCTCGTTCCAGTAGTTACCACTCTGGTAGTTCTGTCTGTTTGAAAATACGATTATTTGTCGTCTGTATCGACCACCTTCACCCTTCTGACTTGTGCCCATTCTGTTGTCTTCGTCCTGACGTTTTCTCGATGATATGTCAAACTCGAAACGCTGATATTATTCATAGAAAATCTACGAACTCTAGTTAAGGACCGCTTCTTTTTTTCTTGTGTGTAACAATGCTTCCGCTTTTTATTCCTGGAGAGACCTTTGTTGCACGATTCATA